TTACAATATTGCCTGACAGTAAATCTTCTATTTTTTGGTTTGAATAAAAATTCTTTATGTGAATTAAAAATCAAAATGGAATTCATTTGTAAAGCCTGAAAATGTAACTAATGAACAGAGGAAATGTTAGTTTAGTGCCAGGAATGCCTGCATTGTTTATTCTGGACCCTATTTTGAATTTGGAATGTTTTGAACTTTGCACTAAATTGGCCAAATTACCAATTTCCAATCACTTTATTTTGTAGTTGAAACAGTTGATGTGGCAATTTCTTGTGCTCAATCGATAAAATAAAAGTAATACTAGTGAAATAGCTAAGACTTTGGTCGACTGGAATAGGTAATTGGCCTAAAATGGGAGTGAAAGTCGGCAAAATCGCCGATGCGTAAATATCGCTGACACATCAAAATTCACGAGAGCATAATTTCGTCAGTTTTCCATCAGATTTCATACTTTTTGTTTTATTACCTTCAGAAAAAGATTCTCTACCATTTCATAAGAAAAAATAGCAAAATTATTTTTTTGAAAATTCTTGGACACTGGTGTGCACTTTGAAATTTGGCCTCTGGACCCTGAAAGGGTTAATTTAAATGAGGAAAATTGACCCAGCATACGAACAAATCAGGATATGAACAAGTCCATGGAACGGATTAAATTCGTAAACCGAGGTTCCACTATACTCATTATTTAACTTTACCAAAAATCACCTAATTACATAAATCTTAAAACTTCAAATCGAGACTCTCAAAGTTCATACATTATTAACCCTTTGACTGTTTCAGGCCCCTCTCTGAAACTGTCATTCTATGTCACTCAATTTTTGAAAAAAAAAATTATTTTTTCTTATGAAATGATAGAGAATCTTTTCCCGATGGTAATGACACCAAAAGTTCGAAATTTGGTCGAAAACTCATGGAATTATGCTCCCGCGAATTTAGCGGTCTCGGCGACATATGCGTATCGGCGATTTCGCTGACTTTGAACCCTATTTTCAGCCAATTCCATTGTTTCAGTTGACCAAACTCATAGCTATTTCTTTAGAACTCCATTTTCTCTATCAGCTGAGTACAAGAAACCTCCCATTTACTAATTTGGACTACCCAATATGGTGGTCAGAAATTGGCAATTTGGCCAATTTCACGCAAACTAAAAAAGATGCCAATTTCAAAATAGGGTCCAGAATAAACAAGGTAGACATTCGTGGCACTAAAATAACATATGCTCTGTTCATTAGTCACATCTCTAGGCCCCTCTTATATTATTATTGCTTTCTATTTTGATTTTTTATTCATACAAAAAAATACAAAATTTACTGTTATGCAGACTACTGCTTTATTGTAAAAATGGTATAAATAATATCAGTGCACTAGTGAAAGAATATTAGACTCCCCAGTTGACGTGTATTGGACGTGTGGTGTGATTTATTTACTCCTGAACATTGGTAAAAATCGAACATTTCCGCTACTTTGAGCTCAGTTTCAAGGTCGTTTTCATCATCAAAGTAATGAAAATCATCTCTATTTCTGTAATATGTTTCCCATTTTATCACCTAAGACCATGAAAACGCGAATACAACGATAAATACTATACGAAAATACACCTCAAAGTCGGCGTTTTATTCCAAAAAAACGATTAGTTTTTTTTTCTCATTATGCAATGTGTGCTGCAGGATTTTTTTAATGTGGTGCACACTGACCACACAGACCCATTCTCTCACATGTGGACCTACCAGCTTTCTCCCGCTTGATTTGAAGCCGCTAGAATTATTGAGTATATATATGTCAGAAACATTGGCTCGTATGACGTATTTATATGTTGAAAACAGTCAAAGGGTTAATACTACTACATTGTAGTATAAATACTTACCCAAAACAATACTGCCTTACACCCATTTGTAGCATTCTCATACGGTAAACTACTCTCGACAGCTCACAATGTCATATACCCATAATATAATTTCAATATTTATTATTGAAACTATTGTAATTAAAGTAAAATTACTGTCTACTATAAATAAAAAAAATGTGCAACTTAAACTATGATCAATTTCTTTAGTATTAAGCAGTCTGTAAGCCATTAAATTAAGTCTGTCCATAATGCCTAGGCATGATAGTGGCTGTCTTTGCACTGCAACTCACTATTTTAATTTCATAATCTCAATGTAATCTTGCAAAGAAATAAAATTTGTTTTTTGTTTGTTTGTTTGTTTTATTGGAGGTCTGTACCCTCAAAGGGCTAAAGGAGGGGTTTGAGATATTGGCTGTTTGGAGTGATATCTAAGCTGTCATATCTGGGCACCTTTGCAAGAACAGTGATTGTGTGAATGTTGGTGAAAGTGTTTCTTTTTTGGGTCACCCTGCCTCGGTGAGAGATGGCCAGCGTGTTAAAAAAAAAAATCTCCACACAATATTCACACAACACATTTGGTCTCAAGCATGATATCTTCACTGCCTCTATCCTCCATATTGCTGTAGCATGTCTCACACCTATACAAAAGGTGTTGGTACCACTATACTCTGCTACATTCCCTTTTTTGCCTCCATAGACAAACTTTTCTTTCTACATATACTTCAATACACCACCTACCTTTTTCCTCCCTCATCTCTCTTATGAGTCACCTCATCTGTCATAGGCCCATCTTCCAACATGATAACTCCCAAATATCTAAATACTATGTACATCCACTTCCATACTTCCTCCAGTCAGAATTCAGTATATAATGCTCACACGTGTTGTTATCTTCATCACCTTGCTCTTTTTTACATTCATTTAATTTACTCCTTTTACACACCCTTCCATATTCATCCATGAACCTTTGTTATTTCCCCTTGAGAATCCCCTAAAAGAGCTATGTCATCAGCAAAAAGCATCTAGGATAACTCCATTTTGTATCAGATCCAACAGCTTTCACTCCTACCCCCCCTTCCCAACACCCTAGCATTTACCTCTTTCACAACCCTATCTATAAATATGTTTAACAACAATGGTTACATCACACTCATTGCTGTCTAAATCCTACATTCACTGGGAAATAGTCCTCAACCGTCCTACATACCCTAACCTGAGCCTCGCTCACTCCCTAAACACTGCAAACTGCTTTTAGTAACCTCCCTCCCATTCTGTACATTTGTACAAAAATTATATCTAATTATTAACTTAAAAAATCTTCCTGCAATTCAAGCATGGTGTACTCTATTAATAAAATTTATACTCTGAAAATTTAAAGTACAGTACTGCATTTAATGTGTAAGGATAATGTTTACAAACCTTTTATATAACATTTTTAAAAAAGCACCTCAGTGGCAAAGTTCTTAACCCTTTCAGGGTCCGTACCGTAGATCTACGGCTTTACGTTCAGGGTCCAAACCGTAGATCTATGCCATGAGCTCAGCTCACTCTGATAAGCTGTGAGTGGTAAATTTGGGCCTAGATATGAGAGAATACATCTATGTGGTATGTGTGCACCATATAAAACAAATCCTACAGCACACAGTGTATAATGAGAGGAAAAAAACTGAGACCGTGATTTTTGATTAAAACAGCAACTTTGCAGTGTTTTTTCATATGTTTTTTATAGTTGTATTTGCGATTTCTTGGTCTCATTTGATAGAATGGAAGACATATTACAGAAATAGAGATGATTTTGATTGGTTTTAGCACGGGAAATTGCTTGAAACTGAGCTCAAAGTAGCAGAAATGTAAATTTTTGCCGATGTTCAAGAGTAAACAAACGACCTCACACGTCGAATACGCACCAGCTGGTGAGTCTAATGTACATTCACAAATGTGGTGATGATATTTATACAATTATTACAACATTGCATAAAAGTAAATCTTCTATTTTTTGGTTTGAATAAAAATTCATTATGTGAATAAAAAATAAAAATGAATTGTAAAGCTTGAAAACATAACTAATGAACAGAGGAAATGTTGGTTTAGTGCCAGGAATGCCTGCATTGTTTATTCTGGACCCTATTTTGAAATTGGAATATTTTGAACTTTGTGTTAAATTGGCCAAATTACCAATTTCTGATCACTTTATTTTGTAGTTGAAACAGTTGACTTGGCGATTTCTTGTGCTCAATCGATAGAATAGAAGTAATACTAGTGAAATAGCTAAGAATTTGGTTGACTGGAATAATGTAATTGGCCTAAAATGGGAGTCAAAGTCAGCAAAATCGCCGATTCGTAAATATCACTGACACATCAAAATTTGCAAGAGCATAATTTCATCAGTTTTCCATCTCTATCTCCACCCGTCCTTCAGAGTGCAGTAACTGTACTTCCCACCTCCAGAACTCAAATCTGGCTAACCAGTTTCCCTGAATTCTTTCATAAATGTTACATTGCTCACACTCCGACAGCATGTGAAGTCATAAAAGCCATTTGCCTCCAGTCTCTCCTAAATATGCATGTGCACACTTTCTGGAAGTCTAAGCCCTTTGCATACAAATTCTCCTCTGCCCTTTAGGTGACACTTTTAGAAATTCCACAATTCCTTGTAATCTCCAAGCTATGGATTTTCTGCATAACATTCACACCACATATTGCTCTCAGACATGACATCTTCACTACCTCAAGCCTTCTCCTTGTTGCAGTGTTCACCACCTATGCTTCACACCCATATAAGAGCATTGGTACCACTATGATCTTATACATTCCACTCTTTGCTTCCATGGATAACATTCTTTATCTCCACAGACTCCTCAGTGCACCACTCACCTTTTTTTTTTTCGTCATTGGTGTATTAGTGTATATAATTTTTGTCTGTTTTTCATGGGATCTTTTTGAAATGTCTCTTGCATCACATACATTCCAAGGTTGTGTTTTATTTAGAAGTTTTTTGGGGGTAAAATTTGTAGAAATGATTTGTACATTAGATCCATGAGCAAATGTGGGTTAATAACAAAATATGAATCAAGATGTTCAGTTGATCATACCTGGTTAATTTTTTTATCAAGTGCAAATAAAAGATTTTTTAACAAGCCAGTAATATTGTTAGGTAAAGGTGCAATTGGTGACGAGTATCGGACGAGACGTGCAGCAGAACGGGAAGGTCGCCGAACTCGAAGACGAAGGGAACGGGAGAAAAAGGGGGATGCTAGTCATCATGATGGAATGTCAACTGATGATGAGGAATCACAGTCAGAGATACAACTGGTGCAGTCTGAACTTGGTATGTAGTAAAGTGACTTCATGCTTAGTTTTTCATGTTATGTTCTTTGTTTTGTAAGTTATTGAACATTCTTGTCACAGGGATATTTAATAAGCAGTCAAAAACTTCATAGCTATGTGTGCTTATTCTGTTAGAATATGATGAGTAAGTCAGTATTGTGGGGGGCATAATTCACAAATAACCCACACATTGGTGTGGAAATTAGTGATTATAGCAAATAAACTTGCCTTTAATATAGAAAAAAGCAACATTTGGTAGTAAATCATCTCCATAATAGACACGAAAATTAACTAAACCATGTGAGAAAAAAGGATGAGAGTGAGCTCCTGGGTTTGCTTGTTGATCTTAAATGAAAATTTTTTGCTCCTCTCCACCTCGTTTAATAAAAATACACCCAGACCATCAATTGGAGCACAATTAGTGTGTAAGATCATCTTAAATGCATTAAAAATTGTAGTGAAAAAATATAAACATGGGGAATGGATTGGTATTTTGAGGAGTAAAAGTAATTCACAAGAATTACATAGTTTACTCAATCTGTGGTTTTCTTTGTTCTTCCCCAAACTTCATGAGCCAGGAGCCATTTGTCGAACCAGACTTGTAGTCTGTCCAGATCCCCTTGTAATCGTAGTTGATCCTGGAGTTTACCTGGAGAGAGTTCCGGGGGTCAACGCCCCCGCGGCCCGGTCTGTGACCAGGCCTCCTGGTGGATCAGAGTCTGATCAGCCTGGTTGATCAGGCTCTGATCCACCAGGAGGCCTGGTCACAGACCGGGCCACGGGGGCGTTGACCCCCGGAACTCTCTCCAGGTAAACTCCAGGATCAACTACGATTACAAGGGGATCTGGACAGACTACAAGTCTGGTTCGACAAATGGCTCCTGGCTCATGAAGATTGGGGAAGAACAAAGAAGACCACAGATTGAGTACAGGTTAGGGGATCAGAGGCTGCAAACATCACTTAAAGAAAAGGATCTTGGGGTAAGCATTATAACAAACTGTTGCAGCACATGGGCTCTTGGCAAACCTGAGAATAACATTTCGACATCTGAGTAAGGAATCATTCACGACATTGTACACTGTGTACATCAGGCCCATTCTGACACATCAAGAAATTGGAGAAAGTGCAAAAGTTTGCAACAAGATTAGTTTCAGAACTGAAGGGTATGTCTTACGAGGACAGATTAAGGGAACTCAGCCTGTTGACACTAGAGGATAGGAGGGGCATGATAACGACATATAAAATACTGAGAGGAATCAACAAGGTGGACAGAAACACAATGTTCCAGAGATAGGACACAGCAACAAGGGGTCACAGTTGGAAGTTGAAGACTCGGATGAATCACAGTGATGTTAGGAAGTATTTCTTCAGTCACAGAGTTGTCAGGAAGTGGAATAGTCTGGAAAGTGATGTAGTGGAGGCAGGATCCATACATAGCTTTAAGAAGAGGTATGATAAAGCTCATGAGCAGGAAGAGTGACCAGTAGCAGCCAGTGAAGAGGCTGGGCCAGGAGCTGTGACTTGATCCCTGCAACCACAACTAGGTGAGTACAACTAGGCGAGTATAGAGAGAGAGAGAGAGAGAGAGAGAGTGAGCGAACCTTTGCTTGTTATTAAAGTATGTCTGTTGTGACGGGTTCCTAGGAGATAAGGTGGTGAAAGGATACACAATGAGATAGTTGGTTACACTTGTATTGGCAGAGTCTTGAGGGGAGTATAGCCCAGCCTACTTGTTCTTGTCTGTGCCTATACTGGAACTGAGAGGGAGGCCTGCAAGCGACTGCTCACATGCGTCACTGCCTGACATCACACATGCTAGCCACTGAGCCTAGCTGGATAGAGAGCCTATATATAATATGGATGATACACCTGCGATATACTACAGAAGTATATCACAAAGGAATTCAGTAACACTACTGACATGTCGACCTCCCTTTAAAACTACAAACACAAAATAGGCCGTCCCTTGCTTTTTAGGACATCCTTCAGCTGTCTACGAAGTGATTAACACACATTCTTCAGGGTAAATTTCCTCATGGGGTAAATTTCCTCCATGATTCATGTATGGCATCTTAAAGCCTTGGGAATAGGCTGATCATCTTCCCATAGTAGATCTCTCATAACCCAGAGTTCATATCTGGGGGGATTTACCTGGCCAGTCATTAAAGAAAGGTACCTCACACTCATGAAGCTATTGAACATCAGATTTCGTGGTGTAACAAGGAGCATTGTCTTCCATAAAAACTTGGGACCACACTGCATGAAGGGTTCAGGCAAATGATCACTTCACAATTCTAGATACACTATTACAGTTAATGCTAGAGGGGACATATTTCTAGGTTTCCTTGGGTGTGCTTTTGCTCTGGGCATGTCATGAACACTTTCCTCAAAGAAGTAATGCAGGCAGGGCCTTGCTGAAAATACACATGCATCAATGGCTTCTACTATTTTCTTTGTTTGATGGCCTGCCTTTTGTAATCGAATGACCTCTGCAGTTGACTCTTGTGGCAGTATCTTACTCCTGCCCATTTTAATTCACCAATATCCATAAATGTCCAGCAGACTTGGCCTTCAAGACAATGCTGCAGAAGGGGACCACAGACACAGAATTTCCCAAAGTTAATAGCCTTAGGGAAATTCTTAGATGACCTACTACAAGGCACTAGGCCAATATAACTTGTTTTGTCTCACCAAGAAACCTACCAGGGTCTGGTATTACTTTGGACATTAAAGTATGCCAGGTGCCTTCCACTTGGCATATTGTATTGATGAACAATATGTATGTATGCTCTCATTAGAGCTTGCAACTTATTATGTTTATTAAATAAATAGTTAATGTTATTTACCCCTCTGTCAAAGATTAGTGCCTTGATGCAAGTGAACAGTTCTTGATCCAGGGAATTAGAGCTACCATCCACTTGTTTTAATCAGATTTGATTACCTCCTATTTCTCATTCTCCAAGCATTGTATGACCCCTGTGGGTTTAGCACTTTCAAATAAATATTATAATAATGCTATTTACCACAGAGCGCATCGCTTCAGAAGCTCGGAAAGTATTTGAAGACGTAGAGGACGACTTCTCTCAGTTAAAACGCATCATGGCAAGATTTGAGGAATGGCGCAGTAAGGAGGGCGCCACATACTCAGATGCTTATGTATCTTATAATTTGCCCCAAATATTCTCTCCTTATATAAGGTCAGTAACAGAGAAACGACATGTTGTCTGTAAGTTTCAGAACTTTCTTTCTTTTTCTTTCAACAACTGGCCATATCCCACTGAGGCGGGGTGGCCCAAAAGGAAAAACGAAAGTTTCTCCTTTTACATTTAGTAATACATACAGAAGAAGGGGTTACTAGCCCCTTGGTCCCGGCATTTTTGTCGCCTCTTACAACACGCATGGCTTACGGAGGAAGAATTCTGTTCCACTTCCCCATGGAGGTAAGAGGAAATAAACAAGAACAAGAACTAGAAAGAAAATAGAAGAAAACCCAAAGGGGTGTGTATTTATATGCTTGTACATGTATATGTGGTGTGACCTAAGTGTAAGTAGAAGTAGCAAGACGTACCTGAAATCTTGCATGTGTCTTCTTTTTCTTTCTTTCAACACACCGGCCGTATCCCACCAAGGCAGGGTGGCCCAAAAAGAAAAACGAAAGTTTCTCTTTTAAATTTAGTAATTTATACGGGAGAAGGGGTTACTAGCCCCTTGCTCCCGGCATTTTAGTTGCCTCTTACAACACACATGGCTTACGGAGGAAGAATTCTGTTCCACTTCCCCATGGAGATAAGAGGAAATAAACAAGAACAAGAACTAGAAAGAAAATAGAAGAATACCCAGAGGGGTGTGTATATATATGCTTGTACATGTATGTGTAGTGTGACCTAAGTGTAAATAGAAGTAGCAAGACGTACCTGAAATCTTGCATGTGTATGAGACAAAAAAAAAAAGAGACACCAGCAATCCTACCATCGTGTAAAACAATTACAGGCTTCAGTTTTACACTCATTTGGCAGGACGGTAGTACCTCCCTGGGCGGTTGCTGTCTACCAACCTACTACCTAGGAAGTTTCAAAATTACAGTTATGTATTTAACTTTTGATTAATCTCTTCTAACATGAAAATTAGGTTACAGGTCCGCATCCCTTTATCTGAAACCCTTGGGGCCAGTACAGGTCAGCCATCACTAATCCAGCAGTCAGTTATCCGGTTCCATCAGTAATCCGGCACTAATTTTGTCTAGCATAATTTCAAATTTCATCATTATACTGACTCGGAAATTGTGCAGATGGTTGTAAATCCACAGCAGTAAGCCAGTGGAGGAGAAAGCAGTGATGAAAATGAGGAAGATGTAGCAGGAAGTCTCTTGATAGATTAATTAAGTGTATTCTAACCTAACCACTCTGTAATCCAGCAAACTCTCTAATCCGGCACACTACAGGTCCCAATGATCCCGGATTAGTGAAGGCCGACCTGTACTGTTTTGAATTTCAGAATTTTTCAATTTTCAGAATAAAGGTGGGGGTCTAAGGCAGCACCCCATAATCAGACATTAACACTGCAGCAAAAATGTATGAATATTCACACTAAGTGGGATAAATAAAGACTACAAATATTACTATGGTTTATTTATAGAGTAATGTATTGATAAATGAAATAATGGGATAATTATAGACCAGGAACATGATTCTCAAGACGATTAACAGACGGCGTTTTTAAAGACTTCTTCGAGCGTCATCTGTCTTACTAACATAGGTTTCTGCGTAAGCATTCTCTCTTTAACTGAGTAAATTTCCATAATCTCTTGCTCACTGATAAATGCAGTTTGTTCAAGGCTAGCAAGTAACTGATCACACATTTTCACCATACCATCTATGGGGACTTTTTCATCTGTGTTCACGATATCATCATCACTACTATTCTCATGTTTATTTTTATTTAACACCATTTCAGCAATTTCAACATCACTCAAAGAATCCGCAACAGGTGCATCATTTTCAGCGTTCAGCATTTCTTTGATGTCAGCTGCCTGTAACTTATTTACACTTTCGTCCGATAAGCTTTTAGCATAAGTTACAAGGTTTGATATCGTCTTCTCATCAGCGACACAAAATCCTTCAAAGTCTTCATCTGTATGTCCATTTACATCAAACATCATTTTAGGCCAAAGTCTGTGCCAAGCGAAAACAAAATAGTATCAGCGAACAGCAGACGTGTGAACACTACAAGCACTGAGACACAACTGATGCCTGCCACTCTGGCTGTCAGTGGTCATGGCGGCGTGACTCAGCGCTGAGATGACTGATGCTCCACACTCCACGAAAAAACTTCGGTTTTTGGAACTTTTCGAAATTCAGAATTTTGGATAAAGGGATGTGGACCTGTAGTGCATAATGTTATATTGGTATTTTATTAAGTTGTCCGAACAGTATTTTCTTTACGTATTTTTTTCCACTCTTCACATAGAGTATGGGTATGTACTAGTTGTAGCTACAGTTAGAGTAAGAGGTAGATGGGACAAAATGAAAATGGCAACAGTAAGAGAGAGAGGTGAAAGTTTATAAACTAAGGGAGGAGGAAGTTATGGTGAAATATAAGCAACTATTGGCAAGTATATGTTGCAAGTATATGGAATAGGTAGTAACTTACTAAATGCTGTAAAGAGTTTTTATGAGGATAGTGAGGCTCAGGTTACGGTGTGTAGAAGAGAGGGAGACTACTTCCCAGTAAAAGTAGGTCTTAGACAGGGATGTGTAATGTCACCATGGTTGTTTAATATATTTATAGATGAGGTTGTAAAGGAAGTAAATGCTAGGGTCTTTGGGAGAGGGGTGGGATTAAATTTTGGGGAATCAAATACAAAATGGGAATTGACACAGTTACTTTTTGCTGATGATACTGTGCTTATGGGAGATTCTAAAGAAAAATTGCAAAGGTTAGTGGACGAGTTTGGGAGAGTGTGTAGAGGTAGAAAGTTGAAAGTGAACATAGAAAAGAGTAAGGTGATGGGGGTATCAAATGATTTAGATGAAGAAAAATTGGATATCTAATTGGAGAGGAGGAACATGGAAGAAGTGAATGTTTTCAGATATTTGGGAGTTGAGGTTAATCATAGAATTGATGAGGGAAAAAAGGGGAGTGGTGCGTTGAGGTATATGTAGAGACAAAAAAACGTTATCTGTGGAGGCAAAGAAGGGAATGTATGAAAGTATAGTGGTACCAACACTCTTATATGGGTATGAAGCTTGGGTTGTAAATGCTGCAGTGAGGAGACGGTTGGAGGCAGTGGAGATGTCCTGTCTAAGGGCAATGTGTGGTGTAAATATTATGCAGAAAATTCGGAGTGTGGAAATTAGGAGATGATGAGGAGTTAATAAAATATTAGTCAGAGGGCTGAAGAGGGGTTGTTGAGGTGGTTTGGTCATTTAGAGAGAATGGATCAAAGTAGAATGACATGGAGAGCATGTAAATCTGTAGGGGAAGGAAGGCAGGGTAGGGGCCTTCCTCGAAAAGGTTGGAGGAAGGGGGTAAAGGAGGTTTTGTGGGTGAGGGGCTTGGACTTCCAGTAAGCATGTATGAGCGTGTTAGATAGGAGTGAATGGAGACGAATGGTATTTGGGACCTGACGAGCTGTTGGAGTGTGAACAGGGTAATATTTAGTGAAGGGATTCAGGGAAACCTGTTATTTTTACATAGCCGGACTTGAGTCCTGGAAATATGGACTTCAGTAAGGCTTTCGATAGAGCTCCACATCAGAGGCTATTGAGGAAACTTAAGGCAAACAGAATAGGAGAAATTTTTTCCTGGGTAGAGGCATGGCTGACAAATAGGCAGCAGAGAGTTTGCATAAATGGGGTGAAATCAGAATGGGGGCACGTCACAAGCGGTGTTCCTCAGGGGTCAGTGTTGGGCCCGTTGTTGTTCACAATTTACATAAACGACATAGGTGAGGGAATAAATAGTGACATAGCAAATTTGCCGATGACGCCAAAATAGGCCGTCTAATTCATTCTAATGAGGACACTAGAGCACTCCAGGATGATTTGAATAGACTGATGCAATGGTTGGAGAAGTGGCAGATACAGTTTAATATAGACAAATGCAAAGTTCTAAATGTTGGAGAGGAAAATAACCATGCAACATATAAACTAAATAATGTAGATCTTAATACTACCGATTGTGAAAAGGATTTAGGAGTTCTGGTTAGCAGTAATCTAAAACCAAGACAACAGTGCATTAGTATTCGCAATAAAGCTAACAGAATTCTTGGCTTCATATCTAGAAGTATAAATAATAGAAGTCCTCACGTTGTTCTTCAATTCTATATATCCTTGGTTAGGCCTCATTTAGACTATGCTGCTCAGTTCTGGTCACCGTATTACAGAATGGATATAAATGCTCTGGAAAACGTACAGAGAGGATGACAAAGATGATCCCATGTATCAGAAATCTTCCCTGTGAGACTTGAGGGCCCTGATTCTGCATTCTCTCGAAACGCGTAGAATTAGGGGGGGATATGATCGAGGTGTATAAATGAAAAACGGGAATAAATAAAGGGAATGTAAATAGCGTGCTGAAAATTTCCAGCCAAGACAGGACTCGCAGCAATGGCTTCAAGTTGGAAAAATTCAGATTCAGGAAGGATATAGGAAAGCACTGGTTTGGTAATAGAGTTGTGGATGAGTGGAACAAACTCCCGAGTACAGTCATTGAGGCTAAAACGTTGTGTAGTTTTAAAAAAGTTAGATAAATACATGAGTGGGTGTGGGTGGGTGTGAGTTGGACCTGACTAGCTTGTGCTGCTGGGTCTGGTGCCGTGCTCCTTCCTTGAGTGGAGGTGACCAGACTGGGTGGGTCATTGGGCTAATCTGGGGGGGGGGACATGGACCTGCTCTGCATGGGTCAGTAGGCTTGTTGCAATGTTCCTTCTTTCTTATGTTCTAAATGGGAAGTACAATGCCTGCACTTTAAAGGAGGGGTTTGGGATATTGGCAGTGTGGAGGGATGTGTTGTGTACCTTTATATGTATATGCTTCTAGACTGTTGTATTCTGGGCACCTCTGCAAAAGCAGTGATTATGTGTGAGTGAGGTGAAAGTGTTGAATGATGATTAAAGTATTTTCTATTTGGGTATTTTCTTTCTTTCTGGGTCACCCTGCTTCGGTGGGAGATGGCCGACTTGTTAAAAAAAAAAATGGCAGAAAGTCAGAAAGTGGGCTATTGCAAGTATGGGTAGTGGGGAGGTTGAAGAGGGATGGGATAGTTTTAAAAATGCAGTATTAGAATGTGGGGCTGAAGTTTGTGGCTATAGGGGGCTGGGTGCAGGAGGAAAGAGGAGTGATTGGTAGAATGGTGAGGTAAAGGGTGCGATAATAGAGAAAAAGGTAGCTTATGGGAGGTTTTTAAAAGCAGGAGTGATTTGAGAAGGGCAGAGTATATGGAGAGTAAAAGAAAAGTGAAGAGAGTGGTGAGAGTGCAAAGGTAGAGCAAATAATAGAGTGGGAGAGGCACTGTCAAGAAATTTTGCTGAGAATAAGAAAAAATATATTTTGAGGAACTTTTAAATGTCAATGAAGAGAGGGAGGCAGTAATTTCATGCACTGGCCATAGAGGTGTATAACATCTTTAGGTGTGATGAAGAGCAAGATATGAGTGTGGGGAGGTGTGTGAGGCATTAGGTAGAATGAAAGGGGGTAAAGCAGCTGGAAGTGATGGGATCATGAGAGAAATGTTAAAAGCAGGGGGATATATAGTGTTGGAGTGTTAGTATTTTTGTTTAACCCTTTCAGGGTTTCCGACGTACTAGTACGTCTTACACGCCAGGGTTATTGATGTATTATTACGCGTAAATTCTAGCTCCTTCAAATCTAGCGAGAGAAAGCTGGTAGGCCTACATATGAAAGAATGGGTCTATGTGGTCAGTGTGCACAGTATAAAAAAATCCTGCAGCACACAGTGCATAATGAGAAAAAGAAAAAACTCCGACCGTGTTTTTGGTTTAAAACAGCGACTTTGCAGTGTATTTTCGTATGGTATTAATGGTTGTATTCTAGTTTTCCTGGTCTCATTTTATAGAATGGAAGACATATTACAGAAATTGAGATGATTTTGATTGGTTTCACAATGAAATGTACTTTGAAATTGAGCTCCAAATAGCAGAAATGTTCGATTTTTGGCAAAGTTCAAAAGCAAACAAATCATGCCACGCGTCCAATATGCATCAACTGTTGAGTCTAATATTCTTTCACAAGTGCGCTGATATTATTTATACTATTTCTACACTAATGCCGTAGCCTGCATAACAGTAAATCTATTTTTTGTGAGAATAAAAATTCTAAGTGGAAAGCAAAAGAAATGTAAGAGAGGCCTGGAGACATGACTAATGAACAGAGAAAATGTTATTTTAGTGCCAGGAATGTCTGTCTTGTTTATTCTGGACCCTATTTTGAAATTGGCATCTTTTTTAATTTGTGTGAAATTGGCAAAATTGCCAATTTCTGACCACTTTATTGGATAGTTGAAATCGGTAAATGGGTGGTTTCTTGTACTTATTTGATAGAAAAAAGTGGAATTCTAGTGAAATAGTTATGATTTTTGTCGACTAGTACACTGGAATTGGCCGAAAATAGGGCTCAAAGTGGGCGAAATCGCCAATGCATAAACGTTGTCGAGACCGCTAACTTTGCGAGAGCATAATTCTGTAAGTTTTCCATCAAATTTCATACTTTTGGTGTCATTATGATTGGAAAAAGATTCTCTATCATTTCATAAGAATTTTTTTTCCCCGAAAAATTTTCGACCCTGAGAACAAGTTGGGGGGAGGGCCCTTGACCCTGACAGGGTTAATAAATGTATGAAAGAGGGGAAGGTACCTAGGGATTGGCAGATATTGTGTATTGTTCCTTTATATAAAGAGAAGAGGGACAAAAGAGATGGTAAAAATTATAGGGGATTAAGTTTACTGAGTATATCAGGTAAAGTGTATGGTAGGGTTATTATTGAAAGAATTAGAGGTAAGACAGAGAGCAGGATTGCAGGTGAGCAGAGGCTTTAGAATGGGTAGGGGATGTGTATATGAAGTGTTTACATTGAAGCTTACATGTGAACAGTATTTAGATAAAGGTAGGAAAGTTTTCATTGCATTTATGGATTTAGAAAAGGCATATGATAGAGTGGATAGGGGAGCAATGTGGCAGATGTTGCAAGTGTATGGAATAGGTAGTAAGTTACTAAATGCTGTAAAGAGTTTTCATGAGGATTGTGAGGCTCAGGTTAGTGTGTGTAGGAGAGAGGGAGATTACTTCCTGGTAAAAGTAGGTCTTAGACAGGTATGTGCAATGTCACCATGGTTGTTCTACATATTTATAGATGGGGTTGTAAAAGAAATAAATGTTAGGGTGTTGGGGAGAGGAGTGGGATTAAATTATGGGGAATCGAGTACAAAATGGGAGTTGCCACACTGTTTGTTGATGATACTGTGCTTTTGGGAGATTCCTAAGAGAAGTTGCAAAGCTTGGTGGAGTGGTGTGTTGAGGTATCTGTGGAGACAAAAAACATTATCCATGGAGGCAAAGAAGGGAATGTATGAGAGTATAGTGGTACCAACACTCTTATATGGGTGTGAAGGATGGGTTATAAATGCTGCAGTGAGGAGGCAGTGGAGATATCGTGTCTAAGGGCAATTTGTGGTGTAAATATTATGCAGAGAATTCATAGTGTGGAAATTAAGACGAGGTGTGGAGTTACTAAAAGTATTAGTCAGAGGGCCGAAAAGGAGTTGTTGAGGTGGTTTGGTCATTTAGAGAGGATAGAACAAAGTAGAATAACTTGGAGAGCGTATAAATCTGTAGTGGAAGGAAGGCGGGGTAGGGTTTGTCCTAGGAAGGTTGGAGGGAGGAGGTAAAGGAGGTTTTGTGGGCGAGGGGCTTGGACTTCCAGTGTGTGTGAGCATGTTAGATAGGAGTGAATGGAGATGAATGGTTTTTGGGACCTGATGAGCTGTTGGAGTGTGAGCAGGGTAATATTTTGTGAAGGAATTCAAGGAAACCGGTTAGCCAGACTTGAGTCCTGGAGGTGGGAAGTACATTGCCTCCATTTTAAAGGAGGGGTTTGGCATATTGGCAGTTTGGAGGGACATCTAAACTGTCATATCTGAGTGCCTCCACAAAGACAGTGATTATGTATGAATAATGGTGAAAGTGTTGAATGATGATGAAAAGTTTTTTCCTTCTTTTTGGGTTTTTTCTTTCTTCTTGGGTCACCCTGCCTCGGTGGGAAACAGCCGATGTGTTAAAAAAATACGTATGTATATATTTTTTTTTTTTTTTTTTTTTATTATCACACCGGCCGATTCCCACCAAGGCAGGGTGGCCCGAAAAAGAAAAACTTTCACCATCATTCACTCCATCACTGTCTTGCCAGAAGGGTGCTTTACACTACAGTTTTTAAACTGCAACATTAACACCCCTCCTTCAGAGTGCAGGCACTGTACTTCCCATCTCCAGGACTCAAGTCCGGCCTGCCGGTTTCCCTGAATCCCTTCATAAATGTTACTTTGCTCACACTCCAACAGCACGTCAAGTATTAAAAACCATTTGTCTCCATTCACTCCTATCAAACACGCTCACGCATGCCTGCTGGAAGTCCAAGCCCTCGCACACAAAAACCTCCTTTACCCCCTCCCTCCAACCCTTCCTAGGCCGACCCCTACCCCGCCTTCCTTCCACTACAGACTGATACACTCTTGAAGTCATTCTGTTTCGCTCCATTCTCTCTACATGTCCGAACCACCTCAACAACCCTTCCTCAGCCTCTGGACAACAGTTTTGGTAATCCCGCACCTCCTCCTAACTTCCAAACTACGAATTCTCTGCATTATATTCACACCACACATTGCCCTCAGACATGACATCTCCACTGCCTCCAGCCTTCTCCTCGCTGCAACATTCATCACCCACGCTTCACACCCATATAAGAGCGTTGGTAAAACTATACTCTCATACATTCCCCTCTTTGCCTCCAAGGACAAAGTTCTTTGTCTCCACAGACTCCTAAGTGCACCACTCACTCTTTTTCCCTCATCAATTCTATGATTCACCTCATCTTTCATAGACCCATCCGCTGACACGTCCACTCCCAAATATCTGAATACGTTCACCTCCTCCATACTCTCTCCCTCCAATCTGATATTCAATCTTTCATCACCTAATCTTTTTGTTATCCTCATAACCTTACTCTTTCCTGTATTCACCTTTAATTTTCTTCTTTTGCACACCCTACCAAATTCATCCACCAATCTCTGCAACTTCTCTTCAGAATCTCCCAAGAGCACAGTGTCATCAGCAAAGAGCAGCTGTGACAACTCCCACTTTGTGTGTGATTCTTTATCTTTTAACTCCACGCCTCTTGCCAAGACCCTCGCATTTACTTCTCTTACAACCCCATCTATATATTATCTATATATTATCTTTACATTTTGTGTTCATAATTATCTTCAGTTCTCTGAAGCAATTAGTCTCTTTTACCACATCTAACATGGAAAAATTCATGCAGGTTTGATATTTCATTTGATGTATGTTTTACATAATCCCATGAAACAAACCAACATATTTCTGTTTCTTCTTAAATGACCTACAGTATGTGTTAAATGGAAAATCAACGGAATAAACATTGAGACAGAAAAATTCACTGTGTTTGGGCAGATAAAGTAACCTAATATTTACTCTGCCTCCTTTTCTTTACCACAGACTTCAGATGTTACTTTGGAACCCACTGATGAGAGACAGTGATGGAATTGAAGTTGAGAGGATGAAATGGTTTAACCTCCTCCTCCTCTATGGTACCAGTGATAATACAGATGATGAACCTTCACGTTTAAAGATAGACCCAGATCGCAAGCTAATGTCACATCTTGTTGAAAGAGTTGTCTTGGTGAAATTAAAAGGTAGGAAATCTTCCCAAACAATTAATAATAATTTTTAATACATTGGCCATCTCCCACTAAGGTAAAAATAATAATAGTCAATTAATGCACATTCAAGAGATTTATATTGAATTTTTTTGAGCTTAACGTTTTATGCTGAATGTATAGTATACACAAGGTATACCTTAACTTTAATATAATAATAGTATACAGTGCCAACAAGTAGATAAGTAAGACATGTTTAACAGTCTGGTTTCTTTATTCCAAAACATTCCACCTACAAAGTAGGCTTCTTTGATGTGAGGTTTGGGGTTCAAAACATAGTGGGTGCATTTGGAGTAATACACAAGTGCTCTGCTTGGCATTTATTGGTAGACAGTGGGTCGTGTTGTCTGCCAGTGTATCCATCCAGCTTGGCTTCTACATCATAACTGAGCTATGCCCTGCAGCAAACCAGGGGTTTTGAACTGGAGGTCAGCATCATTGACCTTTCATTGTGACTCAAGCTAACTGTCCCAGTCTACAACGGTCTCAGCTTACATGCTTTATACATGCTATTGACATCTTCAGTCAAATACAGAGGTGACTAATATGTTCGAAAAGCACGAGGTGTTATCAAGAAGTTCCTGGACTGCCGCAGAAAAGAAATATACAGTGGTCCCTCGTTTAACGTCATTAATCCGTTCCTGGAAGTGCGACGATTATTGAAATAGACAATTTTTTAATCAATTTTCCCCATAAGAAATAATGTAAATACAATTAATCTGTTCCTGACACCCAGAAGTATTAAAAAAATTTTTTTACATGAAATATAGATGTAGTACATAATACAAGGGGACATGATGAATGAAACCTTAACAGCATAACACTTACTTTTATTGGCGATTCTTCTCAGTGTATGGAAGACTGGAGGAGGAGAGAGACTGGATTAGTTACTGTTTGGAAGGGGAATCCCCTTCCATCAACACCTTAGGTACCAAGTCCTTTTCTGGGGTTACTTCTTTTCTCTGTTTCTTAATGCCACTAGGACCAGCTTGAGAGTCACTGGAGTCCCATCTCGCAAAAAAAGTGTCCAGAGAGCTCTGTTTTTGGCGTCTCTTTAAAACTTCCCTAAAATGGGCCAAGACTCTGTAACTGTACAAGTTGGAAATGAATGGTATAAAATACCGACACAATGGAAATATAAACACATATGCAGTTTAATGTGATCCTTTATTGACAGCGTTTCACCCACACAGTGGGCTTTTTCAAGTCACAAACAGATCTACTTGGGGTGGAAGGTACGCGAGTATTTATAGTCAGGTTCAGAATGTTGAGGTCAGGTGGAGAATGCTGCATCTGATGATCTACCGAGTGGGGTTATAGAGTCTAGAATCTTGGGTAGCTTGGAAGGGAGATTGGATAAGTTTGTGAGCAGACCTTCTGCAGTGTTCTTATGTGGGATAGCGATGAAGAAGTTTCCTGGCAGGTGGCTCAGCTATGTTATAGAAGCCATTTTTCTGGTTGAAATTGTTGGTTATAGAGATAAGCAATGATTTCAGGATTCTTCGGTATTGAGTGTCGTCTTCTCTGGTGATAAGTCTTGAGTTTCTGTAGTTAATTAAATGGTTGTGTGAATTGCGGTGTTGTACACAGGCATTCCTTGTATCGTCAGACCTGCTTGCGTATTGGTGTTCTGAAATACGTGTTTGGAGGTCTCTTGATTTTTCGCCCACGTATAATTTGCTGCAGTCATTACAAGGAATTATGTATACCCCTGCAGATGATGGAAGCTTGTCCTGTCTATTACTGGTAATGTCCTTGATGGTTGTGGAAGTAGACACTTGGAATGAGGTATTGGAAAAGATGTTGGAAACATGTTTGGCAATGGAGTTGGTGGGGTGGACTATGTATCTCTTCTCGGCAGTGTCTTCTCTTGGTGTGTTGAAGATGTTTAATGCCCGCCGTCTGCAGTCTCTAATGAAGTGACAAAGACAGTGGAGTTTAGAAAATACTTGTTCAATTATAGTGCATTCTTCCTCAAGGAACTCATTGCTGCAGATTCTGAGTGCATGCAGGAAGAAGCCTATAATTACACCATGTTTAGTTTTGGTGTCGTGGTGAGAGTAGAAGTGGAGAAGATCGTTTTGGTTGGTGGGTTTTCAATAGACTTTAAAACGAAGTTCATGGTCAGCTTTGCAGAGAAGAACATCAAGGAAAGGAAGAGTGTTGTCGACTTCTTCTTCAAGTGTGAACTGGATTGAGGGCTCGACCTGGTTGAGTTCGTCTTGAAGAGCTTGAACGTTGAAGCGTCTGGGAGTTATGAGGAGAATGTCGTCAACATAACGGAGCCAGGTGACAGCCGAAGGAATAATGGTGGAGAAACGCTCGGCTTCCAGATGTTCCATGTATAAGTTCGCCAGGACGGCACTGAGTGGCGAACCCATGGGTAGTCCAAAAGTCTGCTGAAAGAGGTGATTTTCGAAAGAGAAACACGTAAAGCCGACACATAGTTGAACAAGGTCGATGAAATCGCTGGCTGGAATAGGAAGATCAAGTGATTCGTCAATTTTCCTGCGCAGGAGATCGATGGCTTGTGTAGTAGGTACTTTGGTGAATAGGGAAGTTACGTCAAGGCTGGAAAGTTTCTTGTTCCTGATGTTGATGTTGCGAATGCAATTGAGAAGATCACCCGAGTGTTTGAGATGTGCTGGATTGATAGTGCCCAAGAGTTTGGAGAGGTGTTTTGCAAGAATTCCTGAGAGTTGGTGGGGAGCACTGCCTATTCCCGAAGATATGGGCCTCAATGGGATACCAGGCTTGTGAGTTTTTGGCAGGCTGTACATTCTGGCAGGTCTGGGGTTGCTGGGTATGGTGTGCAGAAGTTTCTTCCCTTGTTCTGAGTCTCTCAGAATGTGGCGAGCCCTTTGAAGAAAATTTTTTTTAAGGTTGTCCACTTGGTTAGTTGTGAGAGGTTTGTAGGTATCTGGGTCATTAAGTAGATAGAGCATTTTGTTCCTGTAATCGTCAGTGTTCATGATAACAACACCACCTCCTTTATCAGTGGTGGTGACCCTGATGGTTGTGTCTTCTGCTAAACCTTTAAGTGCAATGATATAACGTCGAGGTATGACTGGGGAGCTGCGTGTAGAGATGGCTGCTGAGGTGATGCCTTGAAGAAAACCTTTTTGGAAGTCGGAGTCATTGTGTCTGTAGTTTTTGGTGATGAAATTGAGGTCTTGTTTTGGTTTCGTAATTCCCGTTGCAAATTTGAGGCCTAAGCTGAGCGCTTCGGTTTCTGTGGATGACAGTGGACAAGATGAAAGATTTTGAATAATGTCAGGTCTTCCTAAACTTTTCCAATGACTATTATCGCAGAGAGTTTGTAGTTTCCTAGTAAGTCTGATCTTCTGTTGAACATTCGCTGTGGTAACTGCTGCGAATGATTTCGGCGGTGCGTCTGTTCATGTTGCCCCGGAGTGCTGTGCCTAGTGTTCTGGCTTGGAGAAAAGCTTCCTTTGTGGCATTGTTTAAGTCATCTGCACACTCTTCAAGGTAGGTCCTAGCTGTAGCAGAGAAAGGAGGTTTGATGTTGGCAATTTGAGGAGGAGTAGATCTTGGTAAGACCATTTCTTGGATGCAGTCACGAAGAAAATTGTGTCTGTTGCGAAGTGAGTAAGCTTTAAGAAGGAGGTCCAGGTATTTTCTGTGTGAAGGATCCATTTCTACTGCAGTGTTTGACACAATGGAAATGAATGGTATAAAATACCGACACAATGGAAACATAAACACATATGCAATTTAATGTGATCCTTTACTGACAACGTTTTGCCCACTGTGTGGGCGAAATGTTGGGTTTAGCAGAAGACACGACCATCAGGGTTACCACCGCTGATAAAGGAGGTGGTAGTGTTATCATGAACACTGAGGATTACAGGAACAAAATGCTCAATCTACTTAATGACCCAGATTCCTACAAACCTCTCACAACTAACCAAGTGGACAACCTTACTAAAACTTTTCTTCAAAGGACTCGCCGCATTCTGAGGGACTCAGAACAAGGGAAGAAACTTCTGCACACCATACCCAGCAACCCCAGACCTGCCAGAATGTACGGCCTGCCAAAAACTCACAAGCCTGGTATCCCATTGAGGCCCATATCTTCGGGATTAGGCAGGGCTCCCCACCAACTCTCAGGAATTCTCGCAAAACACCTCTCCAAACTCTTGGGCACTATCAATCCAGCACATATCAAACACTCGGGTGATCTTTTCAATCGCATTCGCAACATCAACATCAGGAACAAGAAACTTTCCAGCCTTGACGTAACTTCCCTATTCACCAAAGTACCTACTGCACAAGCCATCGATCTCCTGTGCAGGAAAATTGATGATTCACTTGATCTTCCTATTTCAGCCAGCGATTTCATCGACCTTGTTCAACTATGTGTCGGCTTTACGTGTTTCTCTTTCGAAAATCACCTCTTTCAGCAGACTTTTGGACTACCCATGGGTTTGCCACTCAGTGCCGTCCTGGTGAACTTATACATGGAACATCTGGAAGCCGAGCGTTTCTCCACCATTATTCCTTCGACTGTCACCTGGCTCCGTTATGTTGACGACATTCTCCTCATAACTACCAGACGCTTTAACGTTCAAGCTCTCCAAGACAAACTCAACCAGGTCGAGCCCTCAATCCATTTCACACTTGAAGAAGAAGTCGACAACACTCTTCCTTTCCTTGATGTTCTTCTCTGCAAAGCTGACCATGAACTTCGTTTTAAAGTCTATCGAAAACCCACCAACCAAAACGATCTTCTCCACTTCTACTCTCACCACGACACCAAAACTAAACATGGTGTAATTATAGGCTTCTTCCTGCGTACACTCAGAATCTGCAGCAATGAGTTCCTTGAGGAATGCACTATAATTGAACAAGTATTTTCTAAACTCCACTATCCTCATCACTTTATCAGAGACTGCAGACGGTGGGCATTAAACATCTTCAACACACCAAGAGAAGACCATGCCGAGAAGAGATAC